GCGGTCTCGTTGAACTGACCGACACAGAGAGAAGCTCTTTCCACTGTCATCACAAGCGGTAACTAACGATTGATTTTTGTTGAGTAAGCTAAAGCATCTAAGAGTCTTAAAATATTTGTTAGACATAAATCCTTTCACAAACAACTTCATCAATTAACTCAACAACACTTAAGACGTTGGTGAAGGAATTTTGAAAAAAAAAACTAGATTTTCCGTTCCTGAATTTTGCATATAAGAAAAATTTCGGTAAATATGAACTTCCCTAGGGGAAAGAACGGAAGAAAGCTTCCTCTACACAGGTCAAATACGAAGAGCTTAAAAAAATATGAGAGTTTAAATAGAACCATAAAAAGGGAATTCTAGTATCCGGCATGAGATCATAAAACCCACTGAAACCGAAAGCCGTTGGAGGGCGAATATGCTGAGAAAGCTGAAATGTAAATAAATTCGATTATCACAACAAGTCAATTTGAGTTTCCGAGCATTTTACCACAGCACTCGGCATTCACAATAACCTTAGCAAGCTGCAAAAAAGGAGTGTCATAAACATTCTTTACAAAGAAAATATTCTTTGCTCCATAATAAACAAATTTCAATGTAGAGATTACTTTTGAGACGCCCACACACCGTCTCATGATCAAAAATCGGCGCTGTTTTGTTCATGTTTATTCAAGATTCTATTTAAAAAAAATTGATACTTAGGTTAAATTATCATCAATGGTGCTGCGTTGTTGGAGGAGGGTATTGCGAAATATTTTCGTTTTTATCAACTGAATAGACCTAATTGAGAGGCATTGAAAAGTTTTTAGGAAATTACTTTTAACTTTTATTGTATGAACTATCATAACCAACACAAATAATATTGTTTGTAGTATTTATTTAAGGTGAAAACAACCTTTCAAACATATTTCCACAGTAGGTAATTTAGTGTTAACAACTGGGTTGAAAACGTAAATTAGCCACCGTAAAAAGTAAAAAAGCTGACGTTTCGAGCGTTAGCCCTTCGTCTGACGAAGAAACTTACCCCTTCATATTTCCACAGTATACCAAAATGACACTTTCCTTTCTCATCAGCTTCATGAGATAATTAACTCGTTTGGGATTTTTGCCTTGATGGTGAGTGAACAGCGACAAGAATCCAATTTACTTCTTATCATTTAATCAACGAATTTAAAACGTGTTTCCAAGACGTATGCGAAAAAAAAAAACTATGACGTGAACTCCATTTCCTACTCCCTGGACTAACTGACATGTTTGAAGCGTGTTTCCGCATCGTGGGCAAAACAAATCATGAATTATTTTACTCTGACGTAAGTTATATTTAGAAAATCAGCTGAAACCATAACTCGGGTTAGTCTCAAATGCTACAGCTGGCTGCGCAGAGAGACAGTTTGTTTGTGTTGTTCACTTCTATAAGAAAAAAAAGGGGAACCAGCGCGTGAAATATAAAGCTAAGTCTCAAGTCAAGGTGTGCACGCGGGAGCCCATTTTGAAACAAGATTAGCCAGCCAGCGCCCTCTGGAAGCTGCCCTGGTTATCAAGCGAGGCTTTTTAAAAAGAAAGTTCCATATGCCGCTTAAGGGAGCAAGTGTTCGTCTAGAAGAAGAACCTAAATGTTGTTAAGTCAATGTTCTGTTTTTGTCACAGATGTTCATGACAAGAGAATTGACGAGGCTCGGAAAAGGCTGGGAACATCCTCAACTTTACAACTGACTGAGTTGAGCCCGCAATCTTCAGGAATGTTTCTTAGCAACCAAATGTATCCCGATCATCAAAAGGTCTCAAAAGGGAGAGTCACAGGCCTTGCAAGTGCTCGAGTATAAAATTAAGACTGCATTAATCAAATGTTACTGATATTGTAGTGCTACATCAAATTCCACAACGTTCAAAAGAAAACATCAGTACTTTAGCTTAAACGGAACGCTTCGATAGTAATGCCCAACTGAAAAATTAAATTGCTCTTACCTTATAAAAGGTACATGTCATGTCATCGTCGCTGTTTACGGCGTCGTGTAGATTTGCCGAGTCTGGATTGGACGGTTCCAGTACAATCAAATCGTCGTCCTCCCCCTGAACGAAAAGAACGCATAAAATAACATTATTAAACGGTTCAGTTTAGACCTTCACTCCAAATCACAGTTGCATACAACTTGACCAAAGCAGGTCTACAGACCCTGGAGTTTAAATGCCTCTTTTCTAGCAAATTCAAAATGTCTATTGTTCAAACAATATTATCATTGTTTCAAAAGGAAACAAATATCATCGTTTTCATTTAAAAAGTTTTCTAATATATTTATCTAAAACTCTATTCCCGGTGCTCGCTCGCGAAATACAGGCTATGATTTCGACCAATTACTAACGCGAGAGTAATTATTCTGGCGTGCATTCGATCTATTGACTTAGGAGAGGCTTACAGTATATAAATCAACAGCATAGTATTTAAAATTAATCATGCCAAATACGGGAATGGTTGAAAGGCGAGTTGATCTCTGAACGTCGGGTTCACCTTCGAAAATCATCGTGAAAATTCGCCTCAGATATGGAAGGCAGAGCATCTCCGTAGTCTAGCTAACAATATACCAGATTAAAGTGCTTTCACTGAGTGCACTAGAAGAAAGACTTCATAAGTTGCCAATTAAGAAATTTACCATACCTCATCGGAGGAAGATGTCGTGTTATCGTCGCTGTTTTCAGAGTCACGGGCACCTGCCATATATTGCTCTGAGGAACGCGAATCCACAGTAAACAAATCATCATGTCGCCTTTAAATAAAAAGACATCGAATAATTACATCTTTAGCCTGTCAAACGTTGCGTGGAAAGTTCCTGCCAAACTGTTTATTTCTGTCAAAGTTGAGCTCTACCTGTCTTATGTCGTCCTAAGATATTTAAGAAAAGAACATCCTGGGAGTCTCCCAACTTGTTCTTTTGTTGCCCAGTACTATTCTT